GTGATCCCACTCAGTGTGACTGATCCATACATTTCATTACATATATATTAATGTGTTTGGTTACTAGATGTTATCCCAGATAATGTACACTATACTACCTTTCTAATATCCAAAAGAAAATAATTTTTGAAACCATCATGTCCTAAGTGTTTGGGATAAAAGATTATAGGCCAATAAATTATTACTAGTGCTATGGTAGTGGGTATGCTTTAAAGGCCCTTAGGGACAGAAGAGGCAGAGAGAGCTTCAGGGAAGAGGTACTACTGGATCTAGTTTTTGAAGCATGAATACAAATTTGCCAGGCACCCAGACAGGAGGAAAAAATGCCCTGGAACTATTTGAAACAGCCCGAACAAAAATCATGAGAGAGTAACTTGTGGTCAGGAGGAGAATAGGTAGAAGAGTGGCAGAAGAATAAAGTTGGGTCAATAGCCAGGGGTCAAATCACAAAGACACTGTGGAATGCCATGCAAAGTTTAGATTTGACCAGATTGGGTAATTTAGAAGGATGTTAGGCTAAAAGAGGTAAGATGACTATTTACTAAGTTTCCAGAATATAACTTGATTCCCGCTACTCTGGTACAGTTGATAGGACAGCCTTTCACTTTCAAAAGTGACTTGGTTTGGATGAAGTATTTTATGAACCACATTAGTGAGAAGGGAGGTGTGATATTGTGCATATATATTTCGTCTTCTTCCACAGTTCCTGGCTCACAGCTCCCAAAACCCTTAGAATTTCCTTAGTGATGAGAGCCATGTCTTGTTAGGTTAATAAGGTGTGTTTTGGACCCCACCTAAGGATGAGGGCTGTTTTCCAGAAGAATCAACCATATGATTAGAGGGTTGGAACTTTCAGTCCCACCCCTGCTGACCTCCTGAGAAGGGAAAGGGGCTGGAGGTTGAATCAGTCACCAGTGGCCAATTATTTACTCAATCATGCCAATGTAATGAAGCCTCTATAAAAACCCAGAAGGATGGGGTTTGAGAGCTTCTGGGTTGTACATGCAGAAATTTGAGAATATTGTGCTCTGAGCTTCCATGCCCTTTCCCCGTACTTTGCCCTATGATCTCTTCCATCTGGCTATTTCTGAGTTATATCCTTTTATAATAAACTGGTAATCCTTTTATAATATATCCTTATATCTTTTTATAGTAAACTGGTAAAGAAATGAGTTTTCTGAGTTCTGTAAGCTGCTCTGGCAAATTAATCAAATCCAAGGAGGGGAACCTCCAATCTTTTGCCGGTTGGTCAGAAAACACAGGTAACAACTTGGATTTGCTACTGGCATCGGAAGGGAGGGGGGCAGTTATGTAGGACTGAACCCTTAACCTATGGAATCAGAATTGAGTTGAACTGTAAGAACACCCAGTTGGTATCCAGAGAATTGTTAGTGCTATGGGAATTCCCCCCCCACACACAAGTTGAAATTGGGTCAAAAAACCTAAAAACAGGGGCATTTTCAGTTATAGACTGAAAACTCTTTCCATCCTTTCCTCTATCCCACATTGTCCTGCAGTTTCCTTATATCTTGACTTTGTCTCCAACTGAGTAGAAGTTAGCCACTGAAGAAGTTAATTGAGTTAAAATATCCAGAAAAATATAATGTAAGTGGAGCTGAAAATACATGAAGGTTATGAAGCCATCATTGGCTTCCTCCATTATAAAACTGTAGTTAATAATCAGGAAGCATATTCATTTTATAATTTTTCTCATTCCCTCAAGGTATGGTGCTAATGGATAATTTTAAAATGTAAAAATAAACTACAAAATATAAAATATGATCACACATTCCTCACCAATGGAATATAAATGGAAAATATATTCAATGTAGCTTTAGCTAGCAATTTAAAAATAAAGGAAAATATTAGTGTCTATGTATCATAGCATGTCAAAATTAATTTTTATTCTTATAATTAAGTAACAATAAAAACTTGGAATTATTTCAATTTCTTAATGGATTTCCATCAGCTACAAATTGAGAGTTTAACCAGAACCATTTTATCTCACTAATCAGAGAAATAAACAACCTATCATTTCCCCATCAGGTCAGTGAAAATTAAAATACAACGATATTTCTCTGAAATTGTAGGAACTGGTAAACTTATATGATGTTTTTTGTTAGTCAGTCTGGGGTTCTTTTTGGAAATATCTAGTAAAGCTAAATATGTGCATAACATGTGACCCTGTGGTTCTATTTCTAGATTTTTGCTTTAGATAAATATTCACAAATATGCACAGGGACAAGAGTACAAGGTTGCTCATTGTAGCTATGTTGTAATAGCAAACAGTGGGCATAATCCAAATATCCATCATGATGAAGTATTATGGAATGCTGTGACATGAAGTTAGACCTCAAGTATTGTTGAATAAAAAAAAAGTGAACTGAATAAAGAAATATGCAGTAGCCATTTATATAAAAAATTGTATTAAATAATTCTATATTTTATAGTTACTTAAGAGATATTTGTTTTTATTAGTGCTTGGGCTGGACAGACACACACCAAACAGGGGTTAGTGGTTGCTTTGTAGGAGGGGTGGGACCTCCTGGATTTACAATGGTGGTTAAAGGAAATTGGATTTATTCTTTAGTTTTCTAGGGCTGCCATAATCAAGTACTACAGACTGGGTGGCTTAAACAACAGAACCTTATTCCTCAGAGTCTTGGAGGCTAGAAGTCTGAGATAAAGGTGTCAGGAGGGTTGATTTCTTCTGAGTCCTCTTCTCTTTGTCTTGCCGATGGCTGCCTTCTCCCTGGGTCTTCACATGGTCTTCCTTCTGTGACTGTCTTTGTCTTTATCTGCTCTTCTTATAAGGACACCAGTTATATTGGGTTAAGGCTCATCCGTATGACCTCATTTTGCCTTAATTACTAATTTAAAAGTATCTCCAAATACGCATTCTGAGGTACTGGGGTTTAGGGCTTATGAATTTGGAGGAGATGGAGGGACAGACACAATTAAGCGTATAACATATTCCTAACATCTTTATTTAAAACAAAGAAACAAAAGAAATTGGTTTCATATTTGACACTGATGCTAAACAAAGTTGTAAAAGAAAAGTATAAGGTTATCTAAATCTAGAAAAATTTCCCCTCATGGGAAATCTATTTGGTCTTCCAAACTTTAAGAGTGCTATAAAACCAGGTCGCTAACATTGTTTATTTTAGGAAGGTGAAAATGGAAGTGCGTAGGGGGATATTCTTAACATTTTTTAATGATTTTACTTTTTAAAACAATTGTAGATATGCAGAAAAATTTGGGAAAATACTAAAGAGTTCCCATATTAACCACACCCAGTTTCTCCTATTATTAACATTTTACATCAGTGTGGTACATTTGTTACAGTTGATGAACTAATATTGATACACTGTTAACTAAAGTCCATACTTTATTCAGAGTTCCTTAGTTTTTACCTAATGTCCTTTTTTTTTTTTTTTTTAACTCCAGGATTCCATCTAGGATATCACATTGCATTTAGTTGTAATGTCTCCTTAGTCTCTGGGTTATGACAGTTTCTCAGACTTCCTTTTTTATGGACAACATTGGCGGTTTTTTATAGAATGTCCCTCTACTGGAATTTGTCTTCTGTTTTTCTCATGATTAGATTCAGGTTGTTGGTTTGGAGAGGAAGACCACAAAGATAAAGTGCCATATTCATCACATCCTATCAAGGGTATTAACATGATTTGTCACTGTTGATGTTCCCTTTGATCACCTGGGTGAGGTTAGTATTTTTCAGATTTCTTCTGTGTAAAGTTACATCGTTTTTGCCCCTTTCCATGCAAGTACTCTTTAAGAGAAAGTCACTTTGTGAATCCTACAGTTAAGGAGTGGAGAGCTATGCTCCACTTCCTTGAGGGCAGAACATCCACATAAATTTTTTGGCTTGATTTTGCATGAGAGATTTGTTTCTTCTCTGCCATTTGTTTATTTATACAATCATTAACCTTTTTTTACTATATCCCTTTTAATTATTTTACATAATGAACATATATTAATTTTGTAATTAATGTTTAAAATTTTATTTATTTATTTATTTTTGGCTGCATTGGGGTCTTCGTTGTTGCGCATGGGCTTTCTCTAGTTGCAGGGAGAGGGGGCTACCCTTCATTGCAGTGCATGGGCTTCTCATTGTGGTGGCTTCTCTTCTTGCAGAGCACAGGCTCTAGTAGTGAGAGCTTCAGTAGTTGTGGCACTCAGGCTCAGCAGTTGTGGCTCATGGGCTGTAGAGCACAGTCTCAGTAGTTGTAGCACACAAGCTTAGTTGCTCTGTGGCATGTGGGATCTTCCCAGACAAGGGCTTGAACCCGTGTCCCCTACATTGACAGGCAGATTCTTAACCACTGCACCACCAGGGAAGTCTTTGTAATTATTTTAAAATAAGAATATTTTAAAGATACTTAGATAAGAAATCATCAACCAATTTTGGACTTTAGAAATTAGGAGCATGAAAGATTATTAGAAATGACCTATGGAGTTTGAAAATACAAATAATTGTGTGCCCATTCTCTATTAATAATGTGTTATTCTCATTTACACCATAGAAAGCAGTTTATACAAATATTTAACATTACCTGCTTAGAGGGTAAGAAGGTTGCCTCTTTAGATCCAACATGAAGCAAACAGAAGCCTTTCTAGTTGTGTATAGTTTCAGAGCATCTTAAGCTTCATGACTTCAAGGCAGGTTGCATGTAGCTAACCTTCATTCTGCAAACTCTTGGAACGTTTGTACTATACTTGGAAATGATATGTACATATCATACTTTTCTTGTATACAATTGGAAACTTCCTGGGAAAGAAATTTTTGTCTCCTTTGAGAATTTCCAAACATAATTATTAATATTTCCTCCCTACAAAGATACTTAAAAGTAAATTTTTGAAACTCTAAATCAGCAAACTATTAATAATAGCCATAATATCAAATTATCCCACTGTTGCTGCCCTATTACATACACTATCAATGACTTAATATTTCTTTACATTGTAATTTTTTCCAGATATTTCAGTCAGCCTGTTAGCAGTTGTTGTCAGCTTTTGTGGCCTGGCCTTGTTGGTTGTTTCACTTTTTGTCTTCTGGAAGTTGTGCTGGCCTTGCTGGAAGAGCAAACCTGTGACTTCCAATGTCAGTACCCTTCCACAGAGCATGTTAAGTGCTCCCACTGAAGTTTTTGAGACTGAAGAGAAAAAAGAGGTTAAAGAAAATGGAGAACCAGCACTAAAAGCTATTGAGCCTGCAATAAAAATCAGCCACACTTCCCCTGATATCCCAGCAGAAGTCCAAACTGCTTTAACAGAACATTTAATTAAACATGCACGTGTGCAAAGACAAACTACTGAGCCTACATCTTCATCCCGGTAAGGAAAGATCAAATATATAAAACTATTTGTGGTGTGTGTGTGTGTGTGTGTTGTATGTGATTTTCTAAGAGAGAAAAACTGAGGTGGGAAAGGAGAAAAGACAAACAGGAGAATGAGAAAGACACAGGAAACAGGTAATAGAATAAGGAAGGAATTGGCAGGACAGAATAAATAGGGATGAAGAGAGAGAAATTAAGGACAAAGAAGCCAAACAGAGAGCAGTACCATGAAAGGGGCTTATTGGAATTTGAGGTCTCATTAAAATCATCTAATTAGAGAGTTTTTTTTTTTTTTTTTTTTTTTTTTTTGCGGTACATGGGCCTCTCACTGCTGTGGCCTCTCGCGTTGCAGAGCACAGGCTCCGGACGCACAGGCTCAGCGGCCATGGCTCACGGGCACAGCCGCTCCGTGGCACGTGGGATCCTCCAGGACCGGGGAACGAACCCGTGTCCCCTGCATCGGCAGGCAGACTCTCAACCACTGCACCACCAGGGAAGCCCAAGATTATTATTTATTGACTTTTTCCTTTGAAATATCATTGTTTGATCATTGCTATTTGCAGTCTTTCCATTTAGTTTAAAACAACCAATAAATATCAAGAAAACAGCCATTTGCAATGTGTTTCATGAAATCATCCGCAAGTTCACAGTCAAAACTGAGTAACAGAGACTAATGTTTCATCTACAGTTGTTTAGCACCTACCTCATAACTGTTGGAAAATTTCATTGCTTATTTGAACTCACATAGACCAAATTCTTATACTGGTGAGAGTATGGTAAGTTCCACAAGGCTTTGGTGAATATCAAGCATAACAAGGAGTGTACATGAAAGGAAGGAAGAGGGAGACCTCCTTAAGGAGATACATTTTAAGGAAGTGCATTTTAACTCATCCTGGAAAAATCAGCAGAAGTTTGCTTGAAGGAAAATAATTTGCTGTGGTGTGTATTGAATTGTGTTAACTATAAAGGGAAAAAGATTCTTGTGAAAAGCCATTTTTTCTACTAATTATTGTCTTCAATCTTTAACACGAAAAACACGTTAGTAGCAGTGTTTCTCTGATTCCCAGAAGTAGCAACTAGTTTTACACTAGGACAGGGTAAAAATCAATAGCAATGGGGTTGAGTGCTGTTTTCTGCTAACTGAGTCACTTCCTAATCTTACCTTCCTACTTCTCTAAATCAAAGATGCGTCCAAGCTTTCTGACATGACATACTTTTTGTGGGTTTGGAAATCTATCAAGTTGAAAAACTTCATGGGTCATGCTTGCTACTAGGATTGAAAGAATATTCAATATATCTTTTATAAAATAAAAAAGGATTGTATCTATAAATAACTTGTCTTCTTTCTGAAATAAATTCCAGAGGGATGAGTAAGAATAATTGTTACTTCAGGCATGAGAAACTTTGGGGTAAGGAGGATGGATGGAGATCTTATACTTTTCTGAGCTATTTAAATTTTATAACCAAGGTATGCCTCATATTTAGTTATTATGTTGAAAAGTTTTTCTGAGCACTGCATTTGGGTTCATTTTTATAATCCAGTATACATTCATTTAAATATATTTATGGATATTTAACTATAAAATAACTATCCCATGTGTCACTTCTTTATATATATAGGAAAACCTGCTTCAAAATTATCTCATGTGGTTGGTTACTTGATTGTTGTTACTATCAGAACTGCAAACTGTGGCCAATTATGGTATTTAATAAAGCCTTAACATACCCAGAAATTTCAGGGTAAAAATGTTCAATTAACCTACAAAACATTTTTTTAAAATATTGATAACGGCTATGACAATATATCAACTTAGTATTCAGAATTATTCAACTCTTTTAGTTGATAAGTGCACCCTACATAAGGATACTCAATTAATGAAGAAAAATTGAGATAAGCTATGAAAATAGCTTGCCTTTCTTTGTGCAGATTTTTTTTGGAAACCTCAGAAAAATGAAGTACTATCTCCAAAATATTATCTACTGAATGTAAACATACAGCTTATCTGATTATCCCTAGCTAGGGGAGAATGAAAGAATACATACTGAGAACACATGTGTGAAGACTTGGTTTTGAATGCAGAATTGGTTTCTAGAAATGAAATGCAATAGGAAATGACAACACGTCATTTTAGCCCTGGATTTCCCAGTTATTACAAGAAATTGAAGAAATCAGAAAAAAAACTTTTTCTCTCAGTCTTAAAAAACATAAAAATTGGATTGTACATGTACATCTCATATTTTAAGAGAAAAAGTGGAATACAAATTCATAGTTCTGCTAGAACTTTGATATAATTTCATTGACCTCTTTGAATTCCCTTGTTTATGAGTGGCTGAAGAAGGAAGAAAAAAAACTATTGTTTTTGAGTGCCTGCAATTTAGTCACTATGCCAGGCATCCTTCCTGATAATCCTCTGCCAGCCTGTATGAAGTAAGTATTATTACTTATCCCCATTACTTGTGAGTTAACTGAAGCCCAGAGAGATTTTAAAAATTGCCTAAAGCCATGCAGCTGGTGAAAGTTAGAATTCAGATTTATCCAGATTGATGGAATATGTTTTAAGAGTTAAAGCCAAGGGAATATGGATTTTTGCAACCAAAGATGGTTAAAGTCTGCTGTGGACAGGTAGTTTGGAGGTTGGAGAATGAGGGCCACTTCCTGCTCATTCTGCTCAGTTAGAAATGTGGAATTATATGTGGTTATCATGAATAACAAGAGTCATGAGTTTAATCTGTTTGGCCTTGGGATGAATTCCTTGCAGAAAACTTGATTATTCTTAGTTCTCATCGATATAATTACTTCATCATACTAAAAATTACCTTTATATAGAGAGGAAGGGGAAATTGCTGAGTTTATTATGCAGACAGAGAGATCCAGGGCACATCATTATAAATCAGATTATTCTGCTCAAATGCTAACTTTTCATTGAGGTCTAGCAAATCGGAACCGCCCCCTGCCCACCACCCCACCACTCACACATGCACACACAGTAAATTTAACTTTAATGCTTGGTTTCCTCACCTTATTAATATATCCCAGCTCTAGTCTGGTGTTGGGGCTCCATTTTATTTGGCTCAGACAATAGATGACATATCCTCTCAAGTTTTATTTGTCACTATTCTTAAGCAGCATCTTGATTAGTTAACAGCATTGCTGGAAACTGCCACATTTCCCAAGTTCTCATCTTCCTTTTCAAATACCCGGACATTCGGCCCCATCAGCCTGCTGGCAGCCAAACAACCCAACAGACGTCTGTGTATTTCTTATTATTAACATTATTCTCACATCTGTCTTGATTGACTGTTGATTCATCCAATAGCCTTACTCAGTAGATACAGTCAGCAGAAATAACTTTTAGGTATAGTCAGTGTATTCTACATACTCTGTCCACTCTGCAAACTCTAGTGAACTGGAAAAAAATCCACAACATAATGCAGAGAGATAAGATACCAACTTCAATATAAGGAACTACAAGTGCAAACTGTGTGGTGGAGAATGTGGAATTAAGATAATTAGAAAAATCATTTTTAGCTGAGGCATGGAGAAATCCCATTAAACTGAGACCAAAGGAAACTAGGAATTCACATAAAGACAATTGGAAAAGGGTATGCGTTCCAGATGGAAACATTTTATGTGAAAAGACACAGAACGGCAAATCTTATAATGAAAACAGTAGGTACGTTGCCTTGATCAGAAAATAGATGTCAGTGGAGGAATAATGGAAGATAAAATCAGCTGGAATTAAAGTCTGAGGAGGCCTTGGAATCATGGCCAAAATTGTTCAAGGTCTGTCCTGTCAAAAATATTTGCAGCAAAAGGGTCCCTTGGATAAAGAGTTGTGTTTTAGGAAAATTAATTTGACAACAGTTTGTAGGACAGACCGTAGAAAAAAGCATCTATTTTGAAAGTAATATAGTAGTTCAGGCATGATAAAAATCTTATTACATTTTGAGTCCATACTGCCCCACACATATAGCTCTACACTGCTTTCTTGGGCAGAAAACCTGCCAATTTTATTTCTGTACTGATCTTGATACCTAGACAAAGCACTGTAGGAACTCAGGGTATATTTGTTGAATTTTAAAAAATCAGTAAATGAATTTGATGACTTCATTTTATCTATCCAAATGGATCTTTCATGGTTGCCAGTTAGAAAGGTGCTGGTCTTTTTATCATCCTCCTGTAGACCTCAACTCTCTGCCTCTGTGCTTTTGCTTATGTTGCTTCCCTTGTCTAGAATGATAAACTCTTTTTTATCCACTATAAGATCTTTAAGGAAAATGCATCTTTTTCTGTCCAATTATAAGCTATTGTCCTTTAAAGCCATAGCTACAGTCTAGCAATTATTTATTGTCTTAATGTTGAGCTCTAGCTGTTTGCCAGAACTGAGATGTTAATTTCTCAAAGAACAAGTCTGTATAACCCACTTTAATGTGCTCCTAATTTCTTCACTGGGTAGGTGCATAATAAGAATCAAGTGAATGATTTGGATTGACTGATGATCTCTCCACTTTGCTTTGCTCCTTTAAAGACAGCATCAGATGGTGAGATAAACGGTGCTAATATTAGGAGAAAATGATGGTATACTCCCAAGGATGAGTATGAGGACCAATTTTCTTTGCATTCATTAATAGTGTGAAATGAGGTGAATTGTAAGTGGCAAAATAATTTGTTGAGGATGAGAAATTATGTAAGTTAGCCACTGTTAGAGAGGATTCTAAGTACCTACTGAAAATAATTTGGAAACCTAGTGACAGATCCATTTGAACATGAACAAAAGCATGACATGGAAAGAAATCATTGACTCACATGTGCTGATGGGTTTACAATTAGCTATGGTTGCTTAGAAAAGTAATTCTTAATATCATCACACATAAAGTCAGAAAGAGCACTCAATGTAGATTGTTAAAAGAGAAATGAAGAATTACATAAAAATATGTAATACTAGAGCGCATAGTTTTCTTTGAGATTTTTTAAAAATTAAGTCCTTCCCAAGAGAT